CCCAGGGGCTCTCGCTGGTCAGCCCGGGACCTCAGCCCCCGACTCGTCCGCACCTGACCCCTTCGCCACCCTCCTGCTCTCCCAGGTGCAAGCCCTGGAACAGCGCAACCAGCTGCTGGAGACACGCTGGAGCTTCCTGCAGGGCCAGGACTCAGCCGTCTGCAACCTGGGGCATCTCTACGAGGAATACCAGGGCCGGCTGCAGGAGGAACTGCGCAAAGTGAGCCAGGAGCGGGGGCAGCTGGAGGCCAACCTGCTGCAGGTGCTGGAGAAGGTCGAGGAGTTTCGAATCCGGTAGGCAGAGCCCCATGGGAGCCGTGAGCAAGGCCAGAGGGCTGGGACCAAGCTATGCTAAGATGGGAGGCACTTAAGCCAGAGAAAGAAGAAAGACGTTCTGGAACATTTCTCTACCTATTTATGAGGGTCTGTGCCAGGCAGTGTTCTAAATACTGAGGCTATGGCTGTGAACCTACAGCTGCCCCCTCCCTAATAGCGACTCTTGCCACAAAGTCAATCTTGCGCTGGCTCCCAGCTAAACCCGTGCCTGCTGGCCCTTGGGCACGATCATAACCCACCCCCTGCCTCGAGTAGCTTCCTCCTGTACCTATGAGCACACTCGCTCTTGCCCACACGTTGCTCTGGCAATGGGAAGTTACGTTACTAGCTAGAACAGATGGGTTTCTGATTTAGATGTGGCTTTAGATTTTGATCTCAGTTGGGTTGGAAAGGAGAGGAAAACCACCAGGATGCGGGCAGGGGATGGAAAGAGCGGGGTTCATTTGAATAGAGAAGCAATGCACGCCAGCCATCGGGGAGGCTTGGAACGAGACAGATACGGAAAACAGCCTCAGTATGCAAGGCACCTTTACAACTTGGTGGGCAGACAGACAGACAGACAGACAGGGGCTGGGCAGTACATCCCAGCATTTACGGACCAAGCTTGGGCATTAGAACAGGATGAGGTTTCATCTTTGCCCTCACCCATCACTAGCTTTGTGACCTCCAGTAAGTTGCTTCATATCTGAACCCGTTTCCTCCCATGTGAAGTGGGAATGACGATGGTTGATGGCAACCTCAGGTAGTTATCTAACCTAAGGAGGGAGTTGAGAGTGTGGCACGGCGGCTGGCAGTTATGAACAGCAGGTTTTTTCTATCCTTAGAAGGCCGAAGTTCTCAGCACATAGCAGGTCTTTGACACGGATTTGCTGAACTGAATTTTCCAGTCTAAAAGGCAAACCTGGTCACTCGGACTGCTTAGAGGAGAGGTGACCCTCTCTGGCCAGGCAGTGGGCAGTGCTTCAGGAACAAGGAGGCTGAGGCAGAGGAGAGTGGCTGTGCCCTGCACCCACCTCCTTGGGTCTGGTCTCCTTGCAAGGAGACCGCCAGCCAGGGTGAGGGGAGGATGGTGCAGGCTGAACCCCTGGCCTCCCTCCTGCAGTGCTGTGGCCCAGTCCCAAACCCTGCCAATCCAAGGTGAGACTCACAACCTCCAGAACAGCTGGCCAGGGCTGGAGGGTGGAGGGCACCTGTCCAGGAGTCCAGAGACCCGAGCTGTGGCTGAGTTTGGCCATCGCCTCTCCCCAGCCCTGCTCTCACAGGCCTAGGGAAGTACACAGGGCATCTGAACACCCCTCCTGGGAGCCCCAGCTTCCCAGCACCTGACTATGACTGGGTAGTCAGGTCAGTTCACCAGAAGCTGTGACCCACTTTCCTAATCCCTAGTAGATCTTCAGCCCTCAAAGGAACAGAGAATGCCAGAGCTAGAAGAAGTCCTGGATCCTCCTTTTACAGGGAAGGAAGCAGGCCCAGAGACGGCAGGGCTTGTCCTCAGTTACACAGCCTGGCATGCTAAGCCCCATCCCTAACCTCAGCCAGCCGCTGGGTAAGGCTGCTCCCACGAGCTCCACCAGATCACATCTATGGAAGCACTTCGTACTGGAAGTTCTATACACACACTACCTGTTGTGTTCATCTGGCTCAGCCCCCTCATTTGGCCTGCTGCCTGGTTTCTATCCGCCTGCTATCTGTCTCTACTGCTTAGGCTCAGAGCCTCTCTTCCTCTCTCTGGGTAGGGGATCCACCCAAGTTGGGAAGGAAGGACTGCGCGAACAGCCTGGCTGGAGGGCTTCTGGGTCTTCAGACCAGAGCCAGGGGAGCTACAGTGTGGCTGGCTATGCAGAGCCTAGAGCCCCAGGAGCCCGGAGACGCCAAGCCGAGCCCCGGGAGGGAAGGGCTGTGGCCTGTCTCTACAGAGCCGATGAGATCAGCCTCACTCACTCCCAGAAATAAACAAGCTGGGGTGGGGGGGTGTGCAGGTGTGACAAGCTAAAAAAGGCCTGAGAATGGGTTTGGGAGCTGGTGGCTGACAGACTGGCAGAGGACTGGGAGTGGAATAGGGGACCTAACCCTCTATGGGGACCCTCCAAAGGCTTTGAGGTTGCAGAACCCCAAGGATCAGCAGTCTACCCCTCCTATTTACTAAGGACGAAGCAGCAACTCAGCAAAGGGAAGCAACTTGCCCAAGGCCACACAGCAAGTGACTCAGGGATGCCACATACAGCTGTGCAAGCTGTGCACTGCACAAGAGTTCCTGGCTGAGGCGGTGGGTAGGGGCTGAGATCCAGTCAAGCATTAGGCCATCCGGACTGGTACAAGATCAAACAGCCAGTCAGGAAGGGGGCTTGTTTCTCACTGACACAAAGGCTGGAGATGAAATGGTATTGGCCTTAAAGAGACTGACTTTACACTGGAACCCAGGGTCCTGCCTCAGCCCAACGTTCCCCACTGTCCTCTCCCCTGGGGCTCAGGGCTGGCTCCCACCCCACCCACACAGCCCACCTAGAGGTCCAGGGCCAAGGCAGACCTGGCCTAGGCAGGACACCATGAGGACGTCCTCTCAGTCCACACTCCTGGTGTCCTTCTTCACCAGGGGAGGCTTCCCAGGGCAGCTGCCAGGCCCCTGTCCCCATCAACTCACCTGCCTATGTTCCCCCAGGCGGGTGAGTGGCACAGAGTCAGCCACCTGTGCTCCGCAGCGAGGCTTCCCAAGCCGAGGCAGAGGGGCTGAACCCCAGCAGCTGCTGCCCCCCGCTGCAAGCACCCTGTGGGTTGCCCTATTTCATCCTCACAGCGCCGCTGTGATCATGGCCACAGTACATAGGGACTCACCCAGGGACACAGCTGGCTAGCAAGGAAGCCAGGATTTCAGCCCACGTAGCCTGGCTCCAGGCCCCTTGCTTCACCAGCACGCACTAGGAGCCCCCAGCCCTTCTTTGAGCCTCCATTTCCTCATCTGTAAAATGAGACCAATGGGACTTCCCTAACTGGGGGCCCTGAGGGCCACAGGCAACAGTGCAGATGAAGCCCCTGGTGCCTGTCATTCCCCACTCAAGTCCCATTTTGTTCTCTCTGGGAATGCCTAGACAGCAGAACGTTCTCCTGGGCCCACTCCTCTGTCCAGATCCCCAGGACCTGCACCATGATGGCCCCTAACAGACTCTTGGCATCCAAGGCAGTGGCCAGGGAGGGTGTGGGCCCCAGCACGCTGAGACCAGAAACCCACGTGCCCTGCAGTTGAGTCCACGCCCCTCAGCCTCTCGGGTGGCCTGGTGGGAGAGAAGAAGGCATGAGGGAAGCCAGATGCAGACAGCTCACATGGGTGATGAGTGACGTGGCCCTGCTGGGAGGCCAGGGCCTGAGGTAGGCAGGCAGCTGTAATGAGAGCCTCCAGTGATTCAGGCATTCCCTGAAAAGGAAGGAAAACAGAGCTGCTGAATCCCCACAGCCGCAGGGGCCAGCGAGAAGTCTGGGGCCAGCAGACACCCGCCCTGGGGGCTGAGACAAATGTTTTGACTGGAGGAAGACGGTCAGGCCAGGGATCTGGGGTCCCATCCTTCCCATTCAACAGTGTCCTTGTTCCAAACACAGGTGGGCATGAGTGAGGAGAAGTCCAAACCGAGAAGAGCGTTGCGCTTTGTAGAGTACGGCCTCTGTGGCCTGTAGCTAGCTGTCACTGCATCGGGGTGGCTTTGTCAGCCCCCTGTACACATGGGCGCACATACCCCTTAGAGACAGGAAACCAAGGGAGGAGGGTTGAAGCAACTTGCCCAAAAACACACCAGGGGTCCATCTGACAGCAAAGTTCACGCTCTTCTTATCCTCCCTTTGGAGGGAACATGGTGGGATGGTGTCCTACCAGCTCACAAAGCAGAGGGGAGGTGACTGGGGCTGCAGGGAAGGCGTGGAGATGGGAGAGGTGAGGTGTGAGCAGGATGCTCCCAGCGGACTTGATTGAACCCGAGACTGTCAGGGAAGGAGGTCGGGTAAAGATGAGGGGATAAAGTGCCAGGGTGAGGGGCTACAGAGTCAGGGAGGCCTCCTGGAGGAGGTGGATGTGGAGCAGAGCCAGGAAAGGGAAGAAGCTGCTGGGAGAGGGCTGGGTCATCAGGAAGGAGGGGGGAATGGGAAGCCAATGCCAGGAGGTCGGGGAAGAGAGAGAGGACCCGTCATAGAAGACGCAAGAGGGAGAAGGACGGGCTGCTTTTTTCTAACTGGCAAGAGACCCCAAGTGGGATAGCAGAGGCCCTGAGCCCCAACCAAGGGGAGTTCACTAGGCCCAAGCCCCAACCACATCCAGCTGAGCCACACCTCTCTCCCTCCCAGGTATGAGGATGAGATCTCCAAGCGCACAGACATGGAGTTCACCTTTGTCCAGCTGAAGAAGGTAGCCTGCCCAGCCCGCCCCAGGGACTCCTTCCTCATGGGCACTGGGCCCTCTTTCCCTCCAGATCACCTGCTCTCCTTTATGCCCAATCAAAGCCCTCAGAGGCTTAAGTCCCAAGACCAACAGATAGACAGGGAAATACCTCCATCCCCATCCAGCTCCTTTTTCCAGGCTTTGAGCCAGATCTCCTCTGGAATCACCCCCACTCTCACCCAGCAGGCAGTGTCCCCAGCCCACTCTTGCCCTGGGACCCTCCATTCCCTCTCCCACCACTCACTCGTGCTCCCAACCCCAGGACCTGGATGCAGAGTGTCTTCGTCGGACTGAACTGGAAACCAAGTTAAAAAGCCTGCAGAGCTTCGTGGAGTTGATGAAAACCATCTATGAGCAGGTGAGTGACACGGGGCCAGTGTCCTGCCAATCCCAGAGCTGGCTGGTCTGTGGGTAAAGGTCACCGGGGACGCACAGCCATCCAGCGGGGCATGGAGCCTCCAACAGTCACTTACAATTTCCAGCCACAGCAGAATAATTTCCTGAACCCCTTCCTGTGATGATGTCACTAATCCTGCATGAGCCCTGGCCATTCAGCTCATGGAACACGGGCTGCTTCCCCAAAGGCCACTCTTTGGAAGAACGGTATCTTTGTGTGCCAGAGTACTGAGGGTCTTGGGGGACCAAGTGCCTCTGGCAAGGGTCAGGAGGCTGGCCTCAGGGGCATGGATCCCAGGGGCCTGGAACCAGCATTCTGATTGAACTGACCTCTGTCTAATCCCTGTAGCCTAAACCACAGGCACCCACGGTACTAGTTCTGATAGGCCTGCCTTTCCCTCTTCCCCATTTTTGGCTAATGATCTGGTAAATGCAGGCAGAGGAAACGGTCACATTTGTTTCCTAAGTCCTCAGCCGGGCCCGGTGCACAAGGGCCCAGAACAGTGTAGCCTGCATTGGCACAGCCGTCAGATGGGCACAGCCGCTGGCTTCTGCGCATTGCTCCCCCATGCCAGCTGCTGACTCCCAGGCCCCCTTTAGGATATGCATCCTCCTCTCCACACCGCTTCTTTCAGGGGTGAGGAGGTTTAGGGTGGTGCTCCTGGGCTAAAGCTGCTTCCACAGAGGTCTTCAGCTCAGCTAGGAAGGGGCAGCCCCACTACGGGGGATAACAGGGCTTGGCTGCCTAAGTGCCTCACACTGCTGGCGCCGAGCTATGGCACTGCAGCCAAGGTCAAGGCAGAGATCAAAGCCGCCACCACAATGTAAAGATTCTGCCAAAACGGCCCTCTGGTCTGCTGACCACAGCTTCACGCCTGTGCCCTGTGGAAAGGAAGATCAGGCCTCGTGGCCCTGTCATGGGCCACGCTCCTTTCCAGCAGGCCCAGCCCACAGATGGGGCTTCCCTGGAGCTGAGTCTTATTTGTGGCCATGAGATGGAGCACAGGAGAGAGAACAGCAAACCCTTTGGAGCAGCAGGAAGGCAGCCGTCCCAGGCAGTCCACTCTCCCCACAGCCCTGAAAAGCTTCCTGGCCCTAGCAAATTTCTCCACAGCCAGGCCAGCCACTGTGGAGCTGACCAGGGCACGATGTCCACTGGCTGGGTGGGAACTGGGCTAGGGGCTCCTCTGCTCAAAGTCACTGTGGGCTGGACAGCCCAGACAGTCATCAGCAGGGCCATCTCCCATCTCCACTGGGCTGGATCTCCGCCACCCTTGCGCCTCCACCCACTCGTACAGCCTCTGAGAGGCTGAGCCTATGGGCGACTGCAGAATCGGCCGAGCCCAGGGGTTCAGAATCTGCACTCCACCTGCTCACTGAGTTCTTGGCAAGCTCAGAGCTCAAGCTCTAAGCCAGGACGCCGGCCCTGCAGCCGTAGAGACATAACTGGAAGAAGCCTGGGCACAACCGTTGATGTTCCTGAGCCTTGCTGGGTCACACCCCACAAGGCTTCTTGGCTCCTGCCCCAGTAAGCAGGCCTGTGGGTTCCCCTTGGATTTTGCAGACCTTGGACCCCAATCCCAGCTTGGCCTCTTTTTACTATTTCTGTGACTTTAGGCAAGTTATTTCCCCTCTCTGTGCCTTCGTGTCCTTATCTGTAGCACAGAGAGAGTAGCAGGACCAGCTTCAGATGGCTGTGAGGAGGACTCAGCCCGCTCATTCATTTAACAAATGTTTATTGCATGCCTGCTAAGTGCCAGGCACTGGTACCACAGCCTGAGCAAGGTCTGTTCTCTCAAGGAGGGCATGACTTACCTGAGAGAAGTCATAAGCAAGTTAGCAAATATCTGGACAAGACGGCTTCGCAGGGTGACAGATGCTGGGATGCAAAGAAACTGGGTGCTGCGCTGGAGCTGGAGGGAGGGTGGGGCCTCTCAGAGGTGGTAGGATCGGGTAGAGGCCCAAGGGTACTGGAGATGACACGAAAGAGCTGTGCGAAGCCCCTAAGGCAGGAGGGAGCCTGGCGATTAAAGGAAAAGAAAAAAGCCTCTGGTCAGAGCAGACAGGGCAGGGTGGGAGCCTTAGGTCAGAGACACCTCGCAGGGCTGGCTCATGACTTGGACCTCATTCTGAGTGTGACAGGCAGCCTCCGGTGCACACTGGGGCGGGGCGGCACACCGCGGGTTTCAGCTGTGGCTGTCCTAGCCTGAGCCTGCCATGAAGAAGGGCCTGCAGTGAAGGCAGTAGGGGCCCGGGCACCACAGCAGTTATTAGCACTTTTGGAAGCAGCAAGGTGGGGCTGAAACGTGAGGTTTGCGTTTCTCTCCATATACCGCTGCAGGCTAAGAGGGCAATGCTGACTGTTTGCCAAAAGGGTTCCCCATCCCAGGGGTTGTCTAAGCCAGTGCTGTCTGATAGAAACACAATGTGAACTGCCTATGTCATTTTTTCTAGTTGCCACATTTAATAACAGAAAAATTAATTTTAATATTTTATTTAGCCCAATATATCCAAAATGTAATTATTTCAACATCTACTTCATTGGACAGAACAGCTCTGAGCAAAGACTGTGCCAGTCACACCTGCCTCAGGTGGAAGAAAAAACTGGCAGAATGCGAGTGGCCCCGAAACTCTAGTTTCAACTTTGGTGCAGACACCAGATCAGAAATAGACACCCACCCCTGTGTCCCAGAAAATAGCCCCCTCCTGTCTCCAACACACATATGCATATGCACACACACGCACGCACACACGCATGCACACACACACAGAGCCAGGATCCATTCTGAAAAGCCCTTCCCAGCCAGCTGAGCAGGAGCTCACGGCTATGATCTGCTCAGGCCTCATCTACTGCAAACCCTCTGCGTCTCTCCTCCAGGGACACAGGCTGCAAGGTCCCCACAGCTTCTGAGGCACAGTCCAGTTCCCAAGTGTGTTTGGGGCCTGGCTGCATCCAGCTGGAATGCCACCTACCCCACCCCTAAGCTCTGGCTCCAGGGAGATTAGCTGTGGAATCTGCTGACAACCCCCTGCAACAAGGCACACCTTGTGGGAGGCCCTTCCCTGCAGAGAGAAGCCAGTGCTGCCTACATTTTCACAGGGAGGCTGCCCAGGGAACACTTCGTCTCAGCTTTCTCACTTTTACCAATTACCATAATAGAGAGTCCTTAACTACTGTTTAGTGAGCACCTAATGTATTCCAGACACTGTGCTAAGTGCTTTGGAGACTTAATCTCAGTTAATCCTCACGACAACTCTATGAAGTAGGGATAACGATGAAGAGAGCACGGATTTTGAACAGCTTGGATTTGAATCCTGGCTCAGTAACTGTGTGAACAGGAGCAGGCTATTTTAATCTCTATATGCCTCAGTTTTCCCATCTATAGAATGGGGACAATAATAGCATCTACCTCACTGGGCTGTCGTGAGGATTTGTTTTGTTAACATATCCTAAAATACTTAGAACAGTAACTGGCATACAATAAGCATTTCATGAACATTAGCTATTTTCAGCTCTATAATTGGACCCATTTTACAGATGAGAAAACCAAGGCTTAATCACATTTAAAAACTTGACCAGGGTCACCCAAATAATAAGAAGTGATAGTATTCAGAGAGTAACATTTTACTCTCTATTATCCCATAAGAGCCACGATCTGCCCCGATGTGGGGAACACAGTGAGGGTCCTCACACACAGCAGCCTCCTAAGGGAAGCCCTAAACTGTATTTTGGCTTAATTCTTACTCATTTGGAGGTGCACATGCTCTCCAGGTGGCCCGCCCTGTGGGGCACCTCCACAGCACACAAGCCAGCAATGTCATACTCTGCACAGCCCAAAGGGGCCTGCATGTCTGAACAGGTCTGCGGATGTTCTGAATGCTCCATCTCCTGCTTTTGTTTACCAAGCTCCTGCTTAGCCTGCCTGTTCCCAGAAAACGTCTCGCTGTCTTTTCGCCCTGACTGCGAAGTCCTGCTATAGTGCATCCTCACAGTGCACTGGCCTTTCCCAGGGCCAAGACAAATGCCAATTAGGCCCTCATGTAGAAGTGCGCTGGAGGGCTCTATCTGGGGGTGCCCACACCCACTGATGCCCATAATGTGTCAACCAAAACAGCCTCAAAGCTGCAACTCTGAAACTGTCCCCAGCCAAGCCCCAGCCAGGGTGCTGATGCCACGTGGGAAATGTCAGCTAGTGGCCGGGGCAGCGGAGGTGAGGCTGTGGAGACAATCAGTCTTATTCTGTCACGGACTGGGCCATCAGCCTGCTTTTGCCCAGAGATTTCTATTTTCATTTGAAGATCAACCAAAACCCCCCAGCAGGAAACACCCAAGGGTAGCTGGCCACTGACCTCAGGGTCCTGCCAGCTCCAGGATAGAGACAGTTATCCCCCAGAGGGACTTCCAGATGCCCGCCACTGCCCCACCATCCTTGTCACCAGGAGGCGCTGGTGGGCAGAGTCCCTTCCCCGACAGGCCTTTGCAGCTGCCCGCACAGCCCTAGCTGGCTCCTCATCCCTGTTGTCTACAGCTCAGAAGTCCAGCCTCCACCTGGGACAGAAACCAGAGGCCTCAGCACAAGCTCTCTGAGCAGAGCAGAAAGAGGGATGGAGGATCAGGAGAGGGCCCAGAGTCAGGAACCAGGGTCAGAACACAGTCAGGAACTAAAAAGCTGAGCCTGGATCCCAGCAGGCCTCTGGGTGCACCGGCCAGTTTGCAGGAAATATTGGGGCTGAAGAACACGTAGAACATCAGCATGGGGTACAATGATAAAACCCAGCTGTGAGGGACTCCACAAGGCAGACAGCCAATGTGTTCAATAAGAATGATTGCAAGGAATGGAAAAGAGAGAAACGGAGATTATAAGACACCAGAGACATAGGGACCAACTGCAGTATACGGCCTTGTTTGGATCCTGATTCG